CGCAATTAGCAATCTTGTGCCCTTCTTGTCCGCACCTGATGCAAAGCTTCGACCGATCGACTTTGCTTTTGCACTGGGATCTGAAGTGCCCAAAGTGCCAGCATTTGAAACATTGGACAGGTCTCTTCGTTGCTCTTATTCGACAGTTGGCCCAACCAATTCTCACTTTGCTGTTACCTTCTAGTAACTTCTGTGCAGTTGTCGCTGGTAGCGTCACTGTAGCCGTTTGCGTACCTCTGTAGGCCTTACGGATCTTGATAGCCTCTAGTGGTATTTCGCAAGTTTCTCCGGTTTCCGTTTTCAGGGCAGTCTGAATGTGCTCCTTCGTCGTGTCAAACTTGTTCTCCGGAGCGTCTAAAATGTCTCCCAAACTTGCAGTGTTAAATGCGTTTTTGACATCTAGCGTGAGGAGAAGACATACTTTACGAGCTTTAAGGCTACCAGACCATGCTTGTGTTGCTGTTTTTATGACTTTCTCGATCGCTCCGACTGTCAAACGACCTTTCCAGAAGCCATGCTGGTTGGTGGCAAAACCTCCAGCACGGTCGATGTCGTTGCGAAGTCTCCCTTGTATGAGCTTCTCGAGCAGTTTTTCAGCAATGTCTAGCATATAGAGTGGTCTAAACGACGAAGGCGTGTCTCTTCCAATGATAAATAGATGGTACATTATCTTCGTCTTGGATGAGACTTTATCATCTAGTGGCAGGAACGCTTGCGGTGGAGCATACCTGTTTCATTTCTTTTTTTTAGTAGATTTCATAGAAATCTAACTATTGCATTGGTCCTCATGACGTAACTTTTGAAAAATTTTGCTATATTTTGACTCAGCTCGTCAAGCGGATTCAGAAAATGCAAATGGTTCAAAAGTTTATATATGTATGTATTTATATATATGGGTCATTCTCAGTTAAGAAAGACGTAAATCGCTTATTGATAAAACGCGGCACGACAAATAATTTTAAAATTTAATTAAATTTTATAATGTTTCGATCAAAACAATCATTCTAAACGTGTCTGCAAGGCGGTCAGTCAATTTATTAATTTTATCTTGTTTTATAAGAAACCAGGGGAGATACTTAATCCAGGGGAGAGACTTGATAAACATTATGTAAAAAAAACATAATAATCGAGTTTTTTCAATGAACTATACTGTGAATATATTTATACGTTAAATTAAATAACAATATGCAACCTTTAAACAGTAAAAGAACAGTGAAAAAAATTCTAGTTTGAAGTTTTCATGTCTCCCCTGGATGTCGTGTCTTTTCCCTGGCCTTTAGAAGACAGGGGAGATATAGACAGGGGAGATACATTTTAGTAACAAAAACAGAAGTAATGACAAATGTATTTATTGTACGCGATTAACCAAGAATACTTAGAATCTATACACAACAAGAAGTAAATATACAGACGAATTAAAATTTTTAGATAAATATTTTTAGAATCAAATTTACCAGGGGAGAGACTCCATTCACTCGTTCTCAACTGTATCCAAAGATTGTCAGTAATGAAATAAATAACAAAATGACTGCGCACCTAGTTCGACTGGCACTAACTACAAAGTATAAGTTCAACGACGTTTGTTTAAGGTCTTCAATTTCCGCGGATCGGTAAACAAATGCCGATTTTACATGAAAATTACCATGCCAGGGGACGAGACGCAAAATGTGGGGGACAAACTTAAACGTAATTTTTTTTAAGCAAAAAAAATATCATGCAATTTTACTCGCTTGATTACGAGAAATAATTTAATTTATTTTGTTGAAATATATAATTTAAATAATCTATTTGATTTCTAAGCACTTTAAATTACTAATAGGGGAGGGGGGGGGGCAAAATGGGCCCCCTAAAATTTTTAATATCCAAAAATATTTGGGGGCAAAATGGGCCCCCAACATTTTCGACACTAAAAGGGTTTGGAAGGTAAATATATAAAGGACAAACTAGGTCACGAGTTAATTAAAAGCTATATTTACTAATTTTTTTGTTAAAAAACTATTTATTTTATAGAAATTCAAAATATTAATTATTTTAACAAGTTATTGAAAATATAAAAGTAAGTTTTTAAGTTGTCTGTATCCAATAAAACATAAAAAAATATAATTATTTTAATCTATTTACACATATCACACGTATATTTACTTATTTTTTTATTTTCTACACCAGCACATGAATCGTGGGCCCAATTTTTACATTTACCACATTGGATCCATGGCTCCACAGATTCAGAATACATTTGTTGACAAAAAATACAAGCTACATCGTCTTCCGATTGCTTAGATTTATTTTTACCTTTTCCTTTCCCTTTAATCGTCGTTTGACACTGCCTTGGTTTTTTTGTTGGCACATTTTTTGACTCTTCTTTTCGCTCAGCTAATGCATTCCTACATGACGAACTAGTCAAAATAGCAGTACTATTATTTTTTGTTTTGCTCTGCCTTGATTTACGTTTAACATTACTTTGGGTTAAAGGAAGAATACTGTTGGGAGAAATTGTAAAACTATCTTTTCTTCGCCTCTTAGCTCCTTTATCTTCGCTGATATCTATTGAATCATCACTATCACCAAAAGCTTCTTTTAAAAATTGTTGCTGGTATTCATCGGCCGTGGTTTTTGAAGAATGAGCGATGACTTCTTCATTTTCACACTCGAATTTTTGAGTCGTCTCAGCTCCAAAATTTAACTCTACCGCTGTGTCGGCCATAAATGTTATTGAGCTCATTCGACGGCTTAACGATTGTAACTCTGGTTCTTCGGGTTTTTCAATTTGAATGTCAATTATATCAGTGTCATCCTTAGTAGTTATATCAGTTTCATTCTCAGTCGTTTTATCCTTATTAGCCTCATTTTCACCATCGTCAATATTAATACCAGGATCAGTTTCACTTTCTATGTCACTACTGATCATTGTATAATTTTCATTATCTGTCGTAGAATCAGCAGTACTTTTCGGTGGACTTTTGGGTGTCATCGCTTCAGCTGCTACAAAATCCTTATCTGTATAAATAGTCTGTATAAACACGACCTGGATTATCTCGAAACCATTTTTAACTTCGTCCGAGTAAGAAATTGATGCAGGACGCATGACGCTTACGTCGATGGGTTGTAGTCGATGAGTACAGTGTGGCGGTAAGCATAAAATAATGACATGATGCTTTTTTGCATAATCAATCACTTTTAAATTTTGAGTATGACTTGTGTGGCCGTCTAAGATCAACAATACTGGCTTATCTTTCGTTGGCTTTACTCTTCCTACAAACCATACAAACCAATTAAAAAAAATATCGCTATTTACCCAACCACTTGGATGACACTGAGCCCAACAATCATCAATAACGATTCGAGATAAATCAGATGGTAATCGTTTTCGAGGAAGTACGAACATTATAGGCAAAAAAGACCCTGAAGCAGACACACATATTTCTGCTGTAACCAGCTGCCCTCGCTCTGCAGATGTCAAAACACCAACTTGTTTTTTACCCTTGGATGCAATGACTTTAGATTGATGTTTTGGAACCGTCGTCACTCCAGTTTCATCCACATTGAAAATTCGATCAGGTGTAAATTGATATTTATCGATAAGAGATTGCAACAAATCATAAAAATTATCAACAACAATTTTATTGAAACCTGCAGCACGATATTTAGAAGTTGGTTCAGGCTTACGAATTGACAAGTCTTCTTTATGACGATTCAGAAAAGCTTTACACCATTCCCGTCCAGCCGTGTAATTTTTAAAAGGATGTTTGATACCATTTTTTTCGGCTAACTGGTATGCAAGCAAACGTAATTCCTTCGTAGTCAAACCCGACAACCGACTCTCTTGTTGTTTCAAATATTTTACCAGCTCCTCTTCTTGGGTCGGACTAAAAACTGTTTCGATGCTTCCTAAACCTATAATTAAAGAAAAAAATTTTAAATAATTGACTTAAAATAAAAATTGCATAAAAAATCTGTAAATTCAAAACTTGGAGTCATTAAAAGGATTACGTTTTTCAATGCTTGATTCTAAATCAGAATTAACTTTAAAAACTTTAATTCGGCGTTGTAATGTTGATCGAGGAACATTGTATGATTTAGCCGCAGTTTTTAACCCCATCGTTCCGTTTACAACTTCTTGGATAGCTTTTGCCATCGATATTTCACTCCATGACTGACGTCCACTTTTTTTTTGTACTTGCGCACCATATTCAATAATTAATAATTAATATTGCCTGAATTTTTCAATTAGTAAAATGAAGTTTTTTTATGAGCTTGATTATCCAATGTTTCCTAAATGAAGTAAACATAAACAAACCATATGATTACGCAGCTGGTGCGCATGCGTTCTAGTACATCATGCGTGCGCATGTGTACAGACTTTTACAGAATGAGCATGCGCAATCTATTCGAAAAACTGAATGTTTTGGCGCGAAAATTCGATTTCTTCGAATTCATTGAATAGGAATTAAACAAAAAAATTTTAATTTAGCTTTTATGACGTCCAAATTTTTACTATCAATTCTTTTTATACTGAGTCTATGAAAAAAAAATTCAAAACACAAAACAAGTAAAAAACATATTGAGTTTTTTTAGGGGCCCGTTTTACCCCACTTTTTTCAATTTTTTAATTTTGACAGACACAAAAAAATTAATACCATAAACTCAGTAGAAGGCCAAAAAAAGTAAAACAAGCTGAAAAACTCATATTATTAAAATTTTTGAAGGTGGCCCATTTTGCCCCACATTTTCAATTTTTTCTTTTTTAATGAACTGAGCAAATTAAGGTCAAATACTTGGTAAGGGACTAAATAAAAGTAAAACCAGAAAAAAAATTTAGGATTTCAACATTTTTTTCTTAGGGGGCCCATTTTGCCCCCCCCCCCTTCCCCTGCATAAACAGAATCAGCCCGGGGACAAGCCAGGGGAGAGATGTTTTCGGACTTTGAGATGAAATTGTGACTAAATTAAATAAAATTAAGAAATGAATTTGAGTGACCACTTACATGAGCACGAGTTTTAAGAGATAATTAGATTTTTTTTAATAAATTTTTTTTAAAAAGATGGTTTTTCACCGTGGACGTCGAATTTACGTCTTAACTGAGAATGACCCATATATTAGGGTGTGCCAAAAAAATCAACTAATTTTTTTTTTTCAAAAAGTTCTTGAAATTTCGTTAGAAGATACAACAATAAAAATTCAGTTAAAATTTAAGCTCTTAATATCAATATTTAAAGGTCGCGAACTGAATTTTTCGATTTTTAGTTTAATTAACACGAAAAAAAAATTTCCAGAAAGTTTGGATTTTTATTTCTCTTGATTGAACCAACTTCATCGAACGAACAATCAATATTTTTATAGGAAATTGAACGCTGAATAAAAAAGGTCTCTTATCATTTTTCGATAAATTGAATCCTCCGAAAGTTATTCGAGGTTAAAGTTAAGCTTATTGCAAATTTGTGGATTATTTCACTTTTATGGTAAATTTATTACACCGGCATACGAAAAAAAAAAGTTGTTTGTACTTTCGACCTGTTCCGTCGTACGATTAGTTTTATTAAAAAAAAAAATTTAAATTAATTAAACAATTTTATATTTTTTATTCTATAGTCAAAATTATTATTTAAATTGGTAAATAACATATTTTATTTTAAATTCAAACCCATACTCTTAAGTATTTTAAGTTATCTAGAAAAAAAAAGGTTCATTCATTTGTTCAACTTTATTTATGAGTGTAAATTTCCCAGTCTATGTATTGCAATAGCAGTCTAGACAAATTTTTCCTTTTTTATATTCTTGTTATTTTCTAGCTTTAGAATAGAAAATGAATTTTTAATGCTAATTTTTGGGATATCTTCTTAAATAATTTTTAATCTGCTTATGGTCATAAACTTGATACCTGGGTTATATTACTCTGGGTTTTTACTCTTGGTAAATTTTGTATTTTTAATCTTTTAATTGCTAACTAAGTTTAGAAATATTTTCTGTAAACGTATCGCCCATCCAGGTAAAACTCTTAGCATCCCTTTTCCCTTTCCTACTTATTTTTCAAAACTGCATAGTTTGCAACTATCTCGCCTCCAAATTATTTCCTCGTTAACTATTCGTTACCAAATATTCCTACTCCTAATTTTTTCTGCTTGTACTTGTAACGCCTAGTTCTTACTCTCCTTGTAACAATTTTTGTATTTTCTCTAAGTTAGTTATACTTACATACTTTGTAGCGCACAGTCGCATTTCTTTACTTTAAATAAATTAAAGATAAACTCAACCTCATGGTTTTTTACTCAATGCAACATCTATTATTAGTCTTGCATTTATTAATTGTGAACTAAACCTTTATTCACAATATATTTGAGTAACTCACTTATTTGGTATAAAATATAAGCTTTAATTTTATACGTAACATTTTATATACTTGCGGTAAACCAATCGCGAGTCAAAACATTGGTCCCTCGAGCCGGATAGTTTAAAATTACTTAACTTCCAGTGTTCAATTTATTATTTTATTCGAGTCAGTGCGTACTCGGTTTACAAAATTAAGTGAAAAAATACATCTTCATTGTCGTTCAGTTCCCGTAGCCACCATAAGCTACTATCCTGCAAAGTGGAAAGACACATCATCTTTCTGATTCACCCAGGACCTGCTTGAAGCTTCTTCATCTGTTCCTGTTCATTAACCGGAACCCTTTGGAAAACTGCATCGTCTGTTCCTGTACAACGCCCAGTATCCAGCATAATTCAATACTGTAACTATCATCCAGTTGGTAAAGTAAGTCAATTGGCTACCTATAACTCTATCCTACCTTTTTTGCAAATTATATTGCTTATATCTCGTGATATTTTTTCTTTTGCATTGTTTCTTATTAACTAGTTCTGATTACTGTTATAATATGACTGACGAAAAAATAAAGGCCTTAACAACTAAGCGCGCCGGTGCCAAACGATCTTTAGCTTCGTATTTAAATTTTTTAAATAAATTTAATCCAGAAACTGACATTCCTGCTCTTGAAAAAAGATTTCGTGCAATAGAGGAAACTCGTGATAAATTTATATCGTATCAAGAAGAGCTAGAAGAATTGCTCGAAGAATCTGACGCCCTTTTTTCACATCGCGAAGAATTTGAAAATAATTATTTCACTGCCTTTGGCATCGCCACTAAACTCTTAGAACAATATGTTAAAAAGAGTACTCCACCTCCTACTATAACGGAACAAACAAATAATAGTACTACTGATTTATTAAATTCGACTAGTCAAAGTCTATTAGATACTCCGATTTTGACCTCGGAATCAAATAATTTACAACAGCAAGAGCAACGAACCTCCAACATTAATAATGTACCGTCTCACGCCGGAAGTTTTCGAAATTTAGATGCTGTCAATCAGCAACTTCTATTATCTCAATTATCTCAAAATGCATTTGATAACTTTCATTCATCATCTTTGCCGACAATTCAATTGCCAACATTCAGTGGAGCTTATGATGCTTGGTTAGACTTCCATGATTTATTCAATTCTCTTGTTCACAAGGATCTAAAAATTCCTCCCGTGAAAAAATTATTTTATTTGAAAGGCTGCTTGAAAGGTAAAGCAGCCGATATAATTTCAACTATCGAATCCTCAGACGAAAATTACATCGTAGCTTGGGATCTTTTAAAAGAAAGATATGACGACCGGAAATATATACGTGATTGTCATATTAAAGCTCTAGTAGATATGCCATCCATATCGAAAGAATATTCATTTCGCGCGTTTTTAGATCGCGTCCAAAAACACTTACGCGCTCTTCAAGCATTAGGAGAACCCATAGGTTCATGGGACTCCATATTAATTGTAATATTACGGGAAAAACTTAACTCATCCGCTCGCGAGCCATGGGAGGATTGCAGTAGTGGCATAGCTCGTCCTACCGTAAATAATTTAATAGATTTTCTAAAAAGACATGCTCAGGTAGAAGGAGTTCGACTTCAAAATTCGAAACCCGTATCCGAAAGGTCTAATAATAACAATAATAACAACCGATCTCATACTCGCTCGCAACAAACATTTGCAACCACCACTCACGAGCAATCTTGTGTATTTTGTGGTGAAAATACTCATCTAGTTTATAACTGTACTCAATTCGCAGCGTTAGATCCTCACGCTCGTTATGAGGCTTCTAGAAATGGTGGATGGTGCACTAACTGTCTAAGAAAAGGACATAGAGCATCCAAATGTACCTCTCCGCCATGCAGAAATTGTAAGCTGAAACATCACACTCTTTTACATTTCGAAAAAGCAAATAATTCTTCCAACCAATCGGTAACACCTCAAGTCTCTTCTCATTTTGTCGCAAATAGTACTATCTTGCAAGCCCAAACAAGCTCACATGTTTTACTTGCTACTGCCCTAGTTGACATGGTGAATCATCAAGACAATAGCAAAACTATTCGCGTATTTTTAGATGCAGGTTCTCAGGCACATTTTATAACTGAAAATGTTGCAAACTTTTTGAATTTAATTAAGAAACCAGCTAACATTTATGTAACTGGGATAGATAATACTTCAACTAGCGTTAAGCATTCTGCTCGAGCTACCTTGCAATCTCGATGCAATAATTACAAGGAATCTGCTGATTTTTTAATTGTACCTCAAATTAGTCAGGCAATGCCTTCGATTACTATTAATCAATCAAGCCTCGACATACCTAAAAATATTAAATTAGCCGATCCCGACTTCTTCAAATCTTCGAAGGTGGATGCTTTAATTGGTGTTAAATTGTTTTACGAATTGCTCGTTGTAGGACAAATATCATTGAAAAATCACCCCAATGCAATTCTTCAAAAAACTCAGCTAGGGTGGGTCGTTGCTGGTGAAATTGGTGCGCATTCTCAACCTTCGCTTGTATCTTGTCATTTCTCGATCCATTCGGATCCTCCAGATGTAAGCTTAACCCGTTTTTGGGAAATTGAAGAGCTTTCATCAAATACAATTTTGTCTCCAGAAGAAAAGGTCTGTGAAGAGCATTACGCTCTCAACACAACGAGAAATACTGATGGAAGGTATGAAGTACGTTTACCATTTAATGATAAAAAGGCTGGATTAGGTGAATCTTACTCCGTTGCGTTAAAACGTTTTTATGCGTTAGAGCGCAAATTCCAGCAGAAAACTGAA